ACCTGTGCCTTGCCTCCTGCTAATGATTCTGCAGACCCCAGAGCAAGACAATACTCCAAACAACGTGAGGAAGAGCTGGCACTAATAGAGCAACTACGTAAGGTACAGGCTAACAGGAACCAGTATGCAGACATCTTAGTAAACGCATTGCATGCATTATGCTAACCTGTTCTTATGTTTTGGTCTTACTACATTGAACTGATGACCAAAATTAAATGGCAGCTGTATAGTCTGTGTTTCTTTCCGTTGGATTAAGTGGTATTCACTTTGGTTTTTCACAGTGGATAGTCAGCTTTCAAATTCTATAGAATACACAGTACTGACTCTTGCTCCTGACTAGCCAGTGATCGCCACTTTTAAAATGAACGTGTGCTTTTTTTTCTTTATCGCCCTTCACGCTTGTAAGGAACTCTCTGGAAAGCCACCTCTCTGTCTTCCTTTTAATATCTTTTAAAAAAATCCCCATTGCTGTAAAGCCACAGAAGAGCAAGTAGAGTACTGAGACTACTGCCAGTCATACTGACTGCATGGCTTCCTTGTATGCTCTGCATCCATCTGTTGATTCTTGCCTTATCCTTAGTTGAGTGCAGAACGTCTGAGATACAGATGTGCTTTATGCTTGTTTTTGGAGAACACGAAGGGATTTCCGGAAGTGCTATAATTAATTGTTTGAGCTTTCTCAAGAAATAAGAGTTACTTGTTAAAGCTGACTTTAAAAGCCATGAGCATCCCAGATGGACAGAGAGGGTTCCTTCTCTTTATAAATGTTAAAGAAAGGACAATCTAGCAAGTTGTCTCAAGTATTAAGCAAAATAAAACTTGGTGCTGTTTGTAGAGCCTTTCTTGCATTATCTCAGAATACTTTTTATATATTAAGTCTCCTGCTCTACTTCCTAGGTAAGCTTAATTCTTTTTTGTACTTAACGGTTTTCATACAGGCACTGCAATTCCTGTAGCATTTGAAATAGGATAAAAACCTGAACTGAATTTTTTTTCACTCTTCCCTTAACACCATACGTTCACTACCTGCTCCTTTTAAACTCTTCCTACCTTCAGCTTTTCTTACAGCTTTTTCTTTTCAAGACAATAACTTTCACTTCCCTTGGTAGAACCATTTTCTGAGAGTCAGAAGGATGTGGGATACTTTTCTTAGAGCTGATTTTCCGTTGTGTTTGGTTGTATTAGTCCCCTGTGCTGGGCAATAAAATCTGTTTATCTTTGAGGTCAGCTGCTCCTAAAGTGTGGTCAACTCTGGGCCACAGCAGTGCACAGAGCCTTTCTTGGTGGAACATAGAAATAAAGTTGTTCAGAAATATGTCACGAAGGTGGAGAAAGTATTGGAATGCAAGTGATTCTGCCTCTTAAATTGTTTGGCAGAATGAAATAGTTGGAGGAAAGCAGCTCTTATTTTCTGTGCATGTGCGTTCATTTTTATACAGAATATTGAATCACGGTTGAAGGTATCGTTGCCCAGTGATCTTGGAGCAGCTCTCACCGATGGCGTTGTTCTGTGCCATTTAGCTAATCATGTGCGTCCTCGATCTGTTCCCAGCATTCACGTCCCCTCCCCTGCTGTTGTAAGTATGTAACGATGGCAGTATTTTGTAGCTGTCCGAAATGACATCCAGCAACATTCTGTAATCAGGCAAATGCTCCATTCAACAGGCATGAGAAAAATAACCGTCAGGTCTGTCTAAGCAAAATGTGTGGTTTAATTTAAAAATTATATTTGGATTTATTTCAATTAAATAAAGTTACTTCTAACACAGAGTTTTAAGACAATATTAACATTTTCAAGTCCTGCCTGCGTTAACTGGAAAGAGACAGATTTAAAATAAGAGACAGAGCAACATGCAAACTGTAATAGGATATTTCAGAAGATCAAGAGGTCGGAGAAGTTCAGAACAGCAAATAGTAGGGATATACAGTATTCTCCACAAGTGATTAGGAGCCTGTTACAGAAGATAGCAAGAACAGGCAGAGAATCTAAATTGATTCTTGTGTCCACTTCACAGAAGTAGTATAAATTCCTCTGCTTAGGAATTTTAGCAGAGCACACTTGAGCTCCATTTGCATGTGCTTGGCGAGCTCCTGGAACAAAACAAATCCAGTCATACCTTTGTATGGATAACAGGAAAATAGTTTACTTTGCATCTGTGGATAGGAATATTGCTTGCTATCTGAGCAAGAAAGTGCACAGAGAAGTTTAAAAATTTGGGAAGTTGTTCCCTTTACCCTGCCTATCTGCAGTTTTTTGGGGAGCAATGAAGATGATACACAGTAATGCACCTAGAAATACATAATGTCAGGAAAGCAAAGAATTAGGGAATGAAGTAGAGACAGATTATTTAGCTGATCTATCAGCAAGATATTCTTTCTGGTTGTGGCAGCCAAAAAAGTTCAGTGAAAATATTTAGGGTCAGCTACTCAAAAGCAGTACGGAGAGACAAATTGCTTTTTACGCTCATTCACATTTTCTTAAGATTATATGAATGGGGGGAGGGGGGAGGACAAAGACTGTTCCTGGGGGAAGAAGTTGAAACATGCCTGTTTGCTTTGCCCTATTTTGGACTCAGTCCTTGTCAGCTGCAGTTTGAACTGGCGCTTACAGGGCTGTGTACTATACCGTTTTGGTTCCTTTCCCGTGGGCTTATGTGAAGAAGCAGATGTCCTCATTGTTTTGAGAACTATTTAACTGGACATGCCAACATTTTAGACAGAAAGTAGAATCTTCATGAAAAAGAGCCATACAGCTGCTATTCAGCAGATTCTCGTCATAACATCTTTTCAGTGGCCTGGTTTTATGCGCTGTTGGAATAGTCAGTGTTATGAGTTAAATCGTGGCTTTGTCATCAATCTCAAGGAATTAAGGCAGCCTGTAACTGCACAGCTCCAGGAGCAGAAGAGGCATCATGTCATTCCTCACACCACAACATCATCTTTATATTCCCTTTGTCCTTCGGGAAAAAGATTGTCAGCACTAGCCTTTAACTTGCTTTCTTGGTGGGGTAACATGGCAGACTAAGGGGAGAGAGCAAAAGCTCCCCCAGTCTGCTTTATCCCCACTTACTGAAAAGTATTGGACCCACAGAGGCTGCTGCCTACTGCTATGTAGACTGCAGGTAGCTCATACAAAGGAACATGAAGTTTGTGCCTCTTTTTAAAAAAAAAAAAAAAAAAGAATACGCTTCAAGAATAGAAACAAGACAGAGCCAGTACAGGGGCATGTTTGTGCAGAGGTGTGAAAGTTAACTGGGGGGGGAGGAAACCTTTCTTGAAAAGATACCAGTGAGGCCAATTTGAACAGCCACATCAAACATCTGCAAGAGGCTTACAAGCAGCAGGTTTCAATTCCAGTTTTCTTCCATTATTCTCTAGTTACATCTAGCCTTCTTTCTTTTTTTATTTAACCTCTCAATTAAAATATAGTTTGAAATATTTATAAAATGGAGCAATCCAGAACAGACTCCAGATTGCTTCATATCGAGAAATTTCTCTGAAATCCCAATACTGGAGCCGTGTATGTGTTTCATTCAAAATATATTTTTAAAATTAACATATTGCAGCCACTGAAAGTATTAGCCTGTTTTTAGTAACAGCTTGTATGCAAATTTTGCATGGGTTAGAATTGTCTTTTTGTTAAAACATCCAGCTTAGCATTTTGTAAATTAGCTTTGAAATTAGGGCTTGCATTTCTAAAGAAAAGCAAATTACAACAGAGCCTTGTTTGAGTTAGACTAGCTTATGTCAGTGTGGTATGTTTTTGGTCAGCAGATTTAAGAGTTTTATTTACACACAAAATAAAAATCTTTGAATATCCTGACAATTAAGAATACTGTATGCCTTTCTCCTTTCTTTCTTTGCAGCCTAAACTTACAATGGCAAAATGCAGACGAAATGTGGAGAATTTCTTGGAAGCTTGCAGAAGGATTGGAGTGCCTCAGGTACACACTTCTGCTCTTCTGATATTGTTTCAAGTGCAGTTCTGTATGATGCTCCAAAAAAAAAATAGAACCGTTTTTGAGAGATTTGGTGAAAACAAAATAATTAAATGTTTAGAAGGTTCAGGTGTAAGGTACATCTTACTGTATAGGTCAGATTTGTTTTGCATCCCCTTCCAGAACAAAACAAAGCCAGATGCAGTTGATTTATCATAGGTCTGATTAACTTATGCTCTGCCTCAAATTCAAGTTAGTGGATGCAGTTTGAATCTGTCTTGTAAAACTGCAGTGTACTTCAAATAGAATTAAATTTTCTGGAGATGAAATATTTAGTAGCTTAAAAATTGAATAAAATGTGGATAATGGTTTGCGTAATTCCTTTAACCCAAAGCTTTTGATGTGCCTTCAGAATAATCCTCCTATGTGAACATTTTTACTGCCTTGCCAAGAAGCCACAGTATTATTGGCCTTTCTCTGATGGTAGCTATCTTTGCGTAGATCCTAATTCTTTGTGTTATATACTAGTAGTGGTAGTCTAGTATCTTCTGATATTCCTCTTCCCCTTCTGAAACTGGAGGAGCTACAAAGTAGAAACATGAAATAACATATTGCAGTCTAGCTGTCCTGTTTTATGCTGTCCTGTCCTTTTCCCTTTGCTTTATTTAGCAGCTATCTTGGTGCAAATGGTTTTGATACATGTCATATTTTGCTTTATTTTTCTTTTAGTGTATTAATTGGTTTGGTTTCTTAAACTGCTAAGTGGTAGTGTTTCTGTTGTAGGTCCTTTTTTCTTCCTTTTGCTTTGCAAAAGGGAAAAGTAGACCCAGTGACTCATTTCCCAACAATTTCCAAAAGCTATGCTCTTTAGTCACCAGCACAGTATTTTCTGAGTTTATCCATGATAGCTTCACTTGCGGGCAGGACGTGAGCCACTGGAAGTTTAGGATAGCGTATTTATTGAACTGCCCTGTATTTTCACATGACTCGGTGATGCACAGCATTGGAACATGGTAGGGGGCATGAGTGATAGTGTTTGAGGTGCTACACTCTCTTGGTCCCCGAAGAAACTTCAGACTTTTAGTTCTGGCAGGACTGCATAACATAAATTCTTCTGAGGTAAAGTTATTCAATTCCATATCAGCTCCCCAGTTTATAGTTCCCTCGGATATGCAGATACAATTGTTTATGGCCTTGCAGTGCAAAGCAGGTCATTGAAATGAACTACATTAAAGAACAGACAAAATCCCACCCAAGCAAAAAGTCCCCTATAGACGCATTGTGCTACACCTGTCCTAGCTTCATAAAAACTTACCTCCTACCTAGGATCCTCCTGTTTTTTTTTTTTCATTTCTCCTGCTTTGATCTAAAAGAAGTTCAAGGAGAATGTCTCTGGGGAAACTTACTGAAACCCCTACCTGAACTCTAACTTTACTCTCACATGTCTACATTACGTGTCTACTGAGATGAAAAGGCAAGATATCTGTAAGAATGAATGACACGGCAGCCTAATATATTTTGTTGAAAAGATGCCTGCAGGTATCTCCTTTCATTTAAATTCTAATTGCAAATATAAAGGGCTTTTTCGAAGTATGGATCTATGTAGAAATACTTACCTTCTAAGAGAACAGGCTACTTTATGTAAGAAGCTACTTTTAGAAAATGCTAATTACAGGCAGAGCTATGCTCCTATTCCAGCACCACAAAGGAGTAGCTATTTCTGTAGGACTTTGCCAGTAGAGCCCTTGCATCAAAAGAAACCGACAGTTAACAGAATATGGTATACGTGCATCTAGATTTCATTAATTTACAGTAGTTACCTCTGTGCAAGGGAGGCAAAAGATATCCTGGTAATAGTTATAGAACACTTAGGCTTTGATTAATATTAGATATTTCTGCAGGATACCACATTCAAGCATCAATTACACATAAACAATCCCTTGTTGTACTGTTTGTTAATTAAGATGCGTGCAGTGTCTTAACATTGGTGAGTACTCAATGCCAACAGCATCTCAAAAACTTGTAGCCAATTTATTTCCCTGAAAAAAATTAGTTTTTGCTAAGGCTTATGTAAGCTACTGAATTTTTAACAAAAGAAGATTGTTACATGTTTAAGTTTTACACCTGACAGGCAACACACTAAACGCTAAGTACTTGTATTAAGAGAGTTCTTTGGAACTTGCAGATTCCTTTGTGAGAATTAACCAGCTGTGATACGCTCCTTGAATGTGTAGGGTATATCTGAGATGTCTGACTGACTGCTTCGTGGGTGTTAGTATGGCTAATTGACTGACCTTTTTTTTTTTTTTTTTTTTTCTGTCTGTTTTCCCTTCCTGCTCACACACTTTGGACAGGACAATCTTTGTTCCCCTTCTGACATTCTTCAGCTAAACCTCAGCGTTAAAAGAACAGTTGAGACTCTTCTTTCCCTGGGGACAGATTCAGAAGAATCCACTCTTGTCTCCCTTTCCGTTCAGCTTTGGGGCTTTGTGGTGTTTTACTGTACTCTAATGCTAACTCTCTGTATGTTCTATCGCTGGGTCTTTTTCCTCTAGCTGAAAGATAGTGTTGCTTCTTCCTTCCTCCATCACTCCAGTGCTTGGTGAAGGGGTTTGGTTTTCGTCAAGACTCTGTGTATGAAGTGCTTTCTTTCCCACTTAGGGGACAGAGGTGACAAGCACAATGCGTAAACACATTGGTACGCCCGCGTGCCTGTCTGTAACATAATTCACGTTTGTATTTGCTGTGTGATGTTTAGCAGATATAATGCTTACAAAGGGGGAAGTGTTGTTCACAGGCCAGAGCAAGGGACTGAGTTTAGGATATGTGGGTGTAATATGGGTATGTGCCTCTGTTTCCCCTTCTGTGAAATGGGAATTGCACCCACTCTGATACATTGCTTCAAGATTATCTGACAAAAAATGTTAGAGAAGGATGCAAAAGTTTCTATTTTTTTTTCTTTTTTTCCTTTTTTTTTTTTTTTTTGCATCAGAGTTTTTGATTAGATCTCCCAGTCTTAGGAGACATGGTCTGATAAGTTTGTCTGCAGGGCTTTGCTGGTTTTTGGTTTCTTACCCACATTTCTTTACCCTGCTCCTGAGAGTATTTGATTTCTCACATTTTTAGACTCCAGTATATTACTTTTGAGTCAGGATTTTTAAAGTAGCTGTGAATCCTGAACTACTACAGCTTTATAACAGATCCAGCAGGAAATTTTCAGAGAAATTTGGCTCTTTAGTCAGCTTTGGGGGAGGGGAGGAAGTTTCTGATGCAGAAGGAAAAATCTTTAAGAATCTATCAGATGCCACAGGACACTGGGGCATTTTACTGTGGTCTTGATTAAAGACCTGATTTAAAACTTAACAAAAACTTCTTGAGTTGCCACTTGATTGTGGAAGCCCCAAATCATGCTTATTCCATATTCCTTTTCTTCCCCTGTCATTTTCAGAAACTTTTGCATCATATGACTACAGAGATATGAGCCCTGGGTGCACATACGCTTCACTGTTTTGCAAAACTCAGGTAGTCTTCCATAAAGCTTCCAAGATTCTCCCTCCCCGTTGATTCCTGGTGCTTTAATGCCTTTCTCAGGGACACCTCAGACCTTCAGGGCACTCCTAGCGTCATGTGCAAAAAGACCATGTCTCCTCAGAGCATAGACTGATCCAGGGAACTCTGTTCAGAGCTCAGTTACAGGCAAGTGTTAAGTAACATGGCTGTTCTGAGTGTGTTTTCAATAAACTGATATCTGAAAATGCAGTAAACAGCTCATAAGCCTAGTTTACGTGGTGTCAGCATTCCAGCATTAACCTGGCAACAACTCTGAAGCACAGTTTGACACACCCAGGAGCTTAGTCGCAAATGCTGTGGATGCCAGTAAAAAATGTTTGTTACATGCCCATAGATCTCAAAAGCTCTTGTAACATAAAATGGGTACTTAGCAAAGGAGTAAGAGGAGTTGAGTCCCTCTTTCTAAATCGCACTGTGACTGACACAAAAGTCCTGTCCAAGCGAAACATTTTTGAGAGAAGGGGACCAGTGGCAAGATTGTGCTTAATTTTTTAATAAGCTATTTTTGCACTGTTTACTGACATGGACTAAACTGAACTCAGTTCCTATGTTTCTTAATCTCTTCTAATGAACACTGTGATAAAAGCTGCAAGGGGTTTTACCCTAACAGTGCCTTCCAGTTTGTGAATTTTATTTTGTCATGAGTGTTTCTGTGGTATGGAGTCATTCCAGAGCTTTTCCTCTTATCTATTTACTACTTAAGTGAAAAGATAAGACCTATTTAGTCAAGTTTACAGGTATTTTCTCAAAAAGCATATTTTTTTCAAAATAACATCTGTAAAATCGGTGGAAGAAAAACACGTTTCAGCCTAGCGCTCTGACTTACTGTGAGGATTTCAGTCTGGGTGAATTTGCTCTTTCTCCGCTCTGAGCTTTGTGGGAAGAGTGTTGGCTGCCATCACTTAGGCTGAAGATTTTCTTTTACGTGAATAATCAGTAATGGTGCAAGGAATGAAGAAATACTGATTATTGTGGGAATAACGCATGAAAAAAATTCTCTGTAGCTTTATAGGGAGCACAAATTTGGTTATTGACTAACGAAGCGGAGGACTGTTGGCACACACGTCCTGTCTGTGGATGACTGTTACGGAGTGAGGAGGGCCAGGATGTGCCAAGGCCTTGTGCAGGATGAGACTTTAAAGTCATCATAGACCAAAAATATCACACAATTCTTAATAAAACAGTTTGAAAACTCTTTGTATTTTGTGTATCCATGTTATTCTTCAGAATTATTTTTGAGGTAACCTGTTAAAGAGGTGTTCTTCTGAAAGATGAGTAAGTTGTACTCTTAAATATTATAGAAGGGCTTTGCCTTTAAATATACTGCCAATTTCTTCTCGTCTTGAAGAGGAGAAACAGCATTTTCTACATTTATTAAGGTCATCTCAGTCATACAAAGAAGCAAGTATTTTTTCTTTTTTGTTTGTTTTTTTTGTTTTTTTCTTCCATAAAACATCTTCTGCTCTCTGCTGTTTCCTTCCTTACCCAGGATTTTTTGTAGCGATAGAAATCAGGTCATACATATGGACTGAAGGACTTCGGATGGACAATGTGTCTTGCAATGAGAGTTGCTCTTCAGCATAATGTTTCTCTTAGACTTTATTGCACAGAGTTTGTCACACGTACTACTATTTAATTCTCTGCTTTAAAAGCAGGTCTTTGCTTTCTTGTGTTCAGTAACAAGACTTGCTGCGTGAGGACTCCCTCATAAGCCAGTTGTGTTTTGGGAGGGAAACCATGGCTCCTTTCCTACTGTTTATATTGCAGCTGGTTCATCATATTGAATCAGCACTTTCCTCCTTCCTAAGTTAGTCTAATTCTAGTTTCATCAACTGCTACGATTTCCGTGTGGATGGAGATAGAGGACAATATGCTATTTCCCACTTCTCCTCAAATCCTTTTTTTCAAGTCTTCCTTATTTGTACTTATTTTCTGTGTGATGGCTGATACTGTAAACACAATGATTATTCTGAACCTTCCTCTTTTGGTAGTCACATTTACAGCTCTTTATTCACAAGTAGAAACTTCATTTCAAACTTCTGCCTGTGTGTGTTAGCTGTCCATAACATTTCATATTTCAGTCTCTTTTTGCTTAATTTTTTTTTCTTTTCCGTTGAGTATTTTTCATCCGTTTTGTTTTTGTCTTTGTTTTGTTCCCCATTCAGGAGCAATTATGTTTGCCTCTACATATTTTAGAAGAGAAGGGTTTGACACAGGTAGCTGTGACTGTCCAGGCGCTCCTGGAGCTGGCGCCCCCAAAGCAGCAGCAACTTCACCACTTGTCTGCTGTGTAGAGACCTCCAGGACCTTTTGGGTTACCTTGGCTAAGCAGAAGGACGTGAAGACTTTACTGCCCATGCAGTGCATCCAAACGCACAGAGCTCTGTTCTAAGGCAACGAGTTTCCGTGATTCCTGACAGGAATGTTTTGCCTCATTTCTCCACTTTTTTTGGAGATCACAACAGTTTCCAGTAACAGTGTTTTTATTTTGGGGATTTTTTTTGGTTTTGTTTGTTTTTTGCCCCTTAAAACAAAGTGAGGAGGGCAGGGAGTCCCATCGGTTGGTTGTTTGGAGCCAGCTGCAGACCTTGTAGATGGAGACACTGGTGTACGGTTTGGAAAGTGAAATGATTCCTAAGAGGATTTGTTTTTTAGAAGGATGTTGTTGCAATGGGTGTATGAGGAACGAAAGTTCTTTCCTTCCTCGCAGGGTTCAAAGAAAGGGAGTTTCTTTGCCTCTAAGAAACACTAGCTCTTTCCATAATATAAAAAGGATTTCAGGTTAAGATTGTGTTGTATAGTGTTTCATCAGAGGGATGAGCCTCATGGAGCAGTGACCTATGTTGGCATGTCCTCGGTATTTAAATCTGAAGAATAACTTTTTTTTTCCCCCCCTCCAAGGGGAAAAAGTACTGCATGGTATCGCCACAAGAAACACACATCTTAGTAAAAGATACTAAACCAGAACGGTTCCATTTGTATTAAACACTTCAGCATTCTTGCTGGGTTTAATTTTTGTTTGGGTCTTAATGTCTTTGTCTGGAAATTTTTCCAACATCAGTGGAGGAAATCTCCTTCTACCTCCTCTCACCTCTCCTTCCAGGCCCGTAGGGATGCATTTGGTTACTGAATGCTTTTGTCAAAGGATGACTAAATGTCATCAAGAATCAGGTACCTATTTTCACTGCAGTGCAAAGAATTACAACCTGCCATGCTAATCATTAGAAACCCATTATTAAATAAAATTGTTAGCAGGGGCTGGAGCATCTTTATACAGTCCTGCCAACACTGGTAAATGTCCCAACCACTGAAAATTAATGATTTTAAGAACAGAATTACTGAATTTCCATGGGTGGGTTGCATATTATCAAAGCAGCAATCTGTTGCAAAATGTAGTTTATATTTGTAGGTTTGACAGGGCTTAAAATAAAAAAAAAAAAAAAAAGCCTTTCTCATTGGTGGTCAAGTAGAGTGATGCACTCATTTTACAGGACTACTATTACTTCCCCCTTCTTTCCTTATGCAAAAATGGAAATTGAAAATATAGGAATAGGAGAGACACCAGCCAGATTTTGCATTTTACTTTAAAGTCAACCTGCAAATCAAAGACTAGTTTTCTGTGCCTTGGTCCCACTGACTAGGCCAGGCTTTTTACCCGGTCAGTAACCCAATTTTTCCCCCCCCCCCCCCCCCCCCCAAGACCTTGCAAAATCCAGTTTTCCATCTGTGCCATTCTTTCGTTAGTTTCTGGTCTGCTTAAAGTATCCCAAAATGTTACAAATGTCATGTAGTGCATGGGATCTGAGACCAACTTCAGGCACTGGACAGCTAAGTCCATCATGGGATATATTGGAACCAGCATATACCAAGAGGATTTAATGGGGATAAAGGAATGAAAAGAAATAGAAAAAAGCTAGCTAAAAGTCACCTTTGCTGAAGTAAACGTGCTGTGGGAGCGCTGACAAAGACTGGTCTTAGCTGGGTTTTTCCCCATTTGATAAGCCATTTTTCTGTTTTGCTCCCGCTTTGTTTTACTTCATGTAATTCTTTGAAGGTCCATTGGGGTGACTGTTTTATCCTGCATTTCATGTAATGATTGAAACCACTGCCTCTTACTGGCATTGATTGATCATGTTGCAAGTCTAAAAGAACATGCCAAGGGTATTTAGGACTGCACTTGAAAAAAGAAACGTTATTTTCCTACTGGGTAAGTGGGTTGCGCTGAACTCTTCAAAATCTAAACATACCAATGACTTGCAATAACAGAGGAAGAGAGCAGCTCCATACAGGCATACTTTCCTCCCTAAGTATGTTCTGGATTTCACTAAATTTCACTTGTGAAGATTGTTGGTGGTGCTTAAGGGATTGCATAAAAATGCAAGAAGAAAGCTTTCACCGAAGTCTCTGCTGTAGTTAATCGAATGGAAGATTTCTACCACTCGCAACTAAACAGTACAGACCACGTGTTTCTGGTATGTTTGCGTCTGCGCATAATTTGAGAGGGCGCCGAATTTATCTTAGTTTTCAACATTAGGTCATTTGTGTCATGCGTAGGCGTGCTACTTAAATAGCACACTCTTCTTAAACTACTTAAATGTATCTGTTTTAAGAAAACACTTCCCTTCCTAGATTTATAAGGATGTGTTGTTTGCTCCAGTCCAGCTTCCAGCACCTATAGAAAATGAAACTTAGCAGTATTCAGGTTGGTGGAAGCTTGACATTTCATTAATACTAGTTTTTAGGAATTAACGGGGTGGGGATGGGGAGTTGTGTGGACTTGAAGAAATGGCCATTTCCTGGTGTGTCTGGTTAAAACAGCTACTCTTGTGTATCATGAACATGTACACGCAGCAGCTGAATTTTATATAAAGAGGAGTGCTTGCATGAATGGGCAGGCATTTGTCCCAAATATCACTTACATTGTTCCTAGCAACCATTCACTCTGGCAATTTCTGTACAGTGGTCATGTTACTTTCACTTTTATAACCTTGTATTTTCATGCCGGCAAACAGTAAATCGTGACCAGATGCTTAGGACAAAAATCCAAGCCTGAAGTTTCATCACATGGTTTATTTAACGTATTATACCAAAAACCACTTCAGTTTTCTTTTGCAATGAAATGGGTTGGGATTTGTTTGGTGTGTTTATGTGCAATTTTTGTTGTATCCAGTGAAAAGAATATTTTAAAACACGTGTAAAATTGTATTTTGTGTGCTACAGCAAGAGGCAATTGTCTTTCCTTTCTGGGGCATTTGTGTTGGAGGGTGTGGGAGGAATCCGTTTGAGTGTTTAGTGCTCGCTAGTATTTATATACTAACTCCATTGTGTTATGATTCTTCCTCAAATGGTGTCAAACATCAGCGATGTTAAAAACTCAAAATCAAGCAGCACTGGCACTTAGGAGTCCTTGATAGTATTGAAAAGATCAGGTTAAAACAACGGGGATTTGATCCTTCCCCCTTGTGAAGGGGGAAGCTTCCTTTAAGGCCTCTTCCTTGGTGGCCTGTTTAAAATACATTTGAAAACTTTATACAGTACCGAGAACATCTCGGTTGTTCTCAGTAGTGACGTGATGGCAAGTGGTATTTTTAGCCTTTTAGGACTATAAATGGTTCTTTGAAAACTGTTTTTAGAAACAGAGGACTTTTAAGGTTAATTTGGACGTCTAAAATCTTTTGTATAGATACTGTGTTTTACAAAGCGGTCTAATTTTGTTATTTCTGAAAACAGTGTAAACGTGTAATTAATAGAGTAAAGGATTTTAAGCTTCATCCCATGCTGTATGTCTGTAAATACATTCCATAATTTCTAAGTCTGTTAAGTATAAATATGTCTGAAAATTGTATACTTTATTTTAAATTGCCTGTATTCTGCCAGTAGTGTGAACTGCTAGCACACTGATAATATAAAACAAAACCAGGGGTAATTTGAAATAAAGTTTTAAAACTTACGTTAATTACGATATTTCTTCCTGCTGTTTTTCTGTTGCATCAATGAATGTTACATCCTGTGTGTCAAGTGAATATTCACCTTCTGAATTATCACACTGGACAGTTAATGGACCTGTTTTGTTTCTCTTGTTTTCATAACATCAGAATTTTTCGTTCCCAATTAGCTTTTATACGCGCCACTGCAGCCACTTCAGACATTCTCAGAGAGATTTTTCAGCCTTTCCTAGGTACTGAGTAGCAGTGATTTTTGTTCAGAATCCTTTATCCCTCCCTTCTCCCCCACCTCCCACTTTTTTTGCCTCAAAGTGAGCAGTGCAGCATACCTTTTGGGTCTGGGCAGTTTGCCGCTGCCAGTGCTGGTACTCCTTGCAGTTCTCATGTTTTGTTTGGGTTCAGTCTTTAAAATTTGCACCCCTGTTTCATGCTCCTCAGCACTTAAAAGCTTTGTTCCTATTAATCCAAATGTTTGTTCCTCTTTTCCTCCCTCCTCATAGCTAGTTTGAATTATTAAAAAATATGAAGCCTAGAAATTGCCAGAGAAGCACAAACCCTCCCTACTTCGTACATGCTGCATAGCCCCATGGTACTGCCTTCCCTGCTCACTATGCTACTTCAGCATCCTTTTTTCAACTTTGGCGACTCCATCAGTTTTCAGCCATGAGTGCTTGGGACAACTCAGTTCCTACCTTCTTCAGAGCTGCCCAGCTCTCTCCAGGTGTTTTTCTTCTTTATCTAAAGTCTCCTCCTAACCAGCTTCTCAGTCTCCAGCCTTTCTTCTCCATTTGTCTCCTTAGAAACCTCTTTGTCCAAAAGACTCGTGATTTCTCATTTTCCCTGCAGAAAACATCTTATGATCTGTTCTTTGATCGTGGAAAAATTGAAAGCTTTGATCGTGTTGTTCCACAGCTGGAAAAATTGAGCAGTACCAGCCCTGGCAAAGTTGCCCCAAAATGCTAGGTTTTGTGACTCTCTGCCCTCTGTTCCAGTCACTGGGTGTGCTCAGCTTGTTTACTTGGCAACCATATAGCTGAGAAACAGAAATCTATTCTGGTTCCTCTGCTCAAGCAAGGTAATGTTCTTGAGGAGAGCAGTGACCCTCAGAGCTGCTGCTGCAGTGGAGGAACTGGATGGATGGCAGCAGAGATCTCCCTGGGTGAAAGTCCAAGACAAGAACGTGCTGTTGCCTGGTGGGCATAAGCTCACCGAGGTCAGATAGGGTTAGGAAGCCTTGTGTCCTATCTTACAGGTCAGTATGATCCAGTGGCTCAGACCACCTGATTGGGACTCTGGAGATTGCATTCCCCTCCCACCTTCCCTGCCTACTGGAATAATGTAAATCCAGCTGAAAACAAACAAAAAATTACCCTCCCCCCTCTTACACAGACATGGAGTTTCCTGATTTTGGAAGCAGACTTTGCTGTGCCTGTGGAATATATATATATGCATATTTTTTCCCCCCTCTTTGAGATACCAGTCACTGAAATGGAAGTTTTGAATAATTTCATGACTAGTGCAGTATGTAACTTCCTGCTGGCTCATTTACTGCAGGTCCAGGGTGCTGGATCTGCTGCGATGCTTCGTGAGGGTCAAAATCCATAAAAATAACTGCTCTTATCCTGGCATTGGGACCTGGGGCTTGAAGAGGAGCCCAGCCTAGGCGGAGCTCCCTGGATGAGGAGGATTTTTCAGAATTACATTGTTTTGTTCTCAGCTGCAAAGCAAGTGAAAACACTAGTCCCCATCCTTTGCCATGCTTTCAGCAGATTTCAGCTTTTTGGTTTTATTACTAATGAGTGTGTGTGCCTAGAATTTACGATAAAAAAGTGGAGATTTACTCTTCCTCTGTTTTCTCCTACTTTTTCCTTAGCTCAAGCTATCTGAAGAGTTAATGACCAAGCTTCATTCTCTCCGCCCAAACAGGTCACCTGCTAACGTCCACCATGTATGGAAAATATTAGTCATAAATGAAACAAAAAAAATGAATCAAAAAAGTCAGGGAGTGAATGAAAAGGAAGAGTTAAAATTAGGAACATAACTCCAGTGGTTGCTATGAGGCGCCTACTGCAATAAGGAGCCATGGTGCAGACATGCGATGTAAGCATAGTCTTAGCTTGGCTCCTGCAAGCAGCAGACCAGACTAATCCCTGTTCTTACCACAATGTGGGGACCACGGAAAGCAAGTGAATGTGTTTTCTGCTTTGGTATCAGTGCTCTGAATGGGCACACGTTCTGGTTTAAGCTAACCAGCAATATTCCAGTGGTAATATCAATGCTTTCAACTCGAGTCTGTCTAAAGTGTCTGAAATTTCAGTACTCCCTTGACAATCCACCCAGCCTGATAGTCAGGCACCAGCCCCTTTCCTTCCATTCAGACAGAGTTCTGAGCCAAACACTTTCTGCTTGCAATTTCAGTCCTTTTGCTTGAATTTAACTTCTGGCACCGTTCAGCTTGGATGTGAGGACTTTTGGATGGGATAGTGCCTCTGATAAAGCACATGCTGGTCACAGAGAACACAGCAGAGTTTGTATGGTTTAGCTGTTTCTTCTGTGTGGGAGTATCGGAAACCATCCAGCTCAGCTGCTGGGTTTACCTTGCTTTGGGCACAAACCTGGAGGTGCTTGACAGTAGTGTCAGGAGAAAGGGCTCCCCTCTTAGTTAACAAAAGGGTGCGATGCTTCCCGCCGCCTTCGCTCCTGGCCTACCAGCTCATCTCACTGCGC